AGCTATTTGGAGAAAATGGCTTACGTTTGAGGGCTAAATGGACTTGTTTAGGACTGTGTTCTACCTCCCTGTCTTCAAGTATGGGATTTCCCACCTAATGGAATGTTTGAGTCTGCAGAACACACAAATTTTACCCCATTTGTTGCTGCCCTCTCTGACTTGGGGCAAAGAGAGAAGAAAACTAATTACCTAGGCCTACAGTCTTTTAATGAATAAGTCCTAGCCAGTCAAGAGACTTGGGCTAATTGTTACCATTTCTAATGAGGCTTCTCACTCCTCAGTGGTGAAACGTGAGTAATTGGTGGGGCAAGAGACCGTGAGTGTTACTGTAGAGAAGTCCCTCTCTCCACAGGGAGACAAGGAATGGGGAAATGTTATTCCTTAACTTTCTCTTAATTTTCCATCTTAATCATTAAGTTTATGGTCAATCAGAGGTATGTCTAGCCCCTCCAGAGAGGAGATTCACAGCTATCAGAGAAATCCTGCTCCTACCTTTATGAGATTGCTCCAACACTGCGCTTTTTGGGATATTAATTAAATTAATTCCAAGACCGCGACGTTCAAGATAAAAATTTCATTTTCTATTTTCCATGTCAAATTATGGCCAGCCCATTGCACAATATGATTCATTAGAGGTTCTGTTATGAGATTAACATACTCCAATAATAAGCGCTAACCTAATTTTGAAAACACCCTCCCACAATAAAATTCTTCATGAGAAATTAAATTCAAAGGTTAAAGTCTCAAAGAGATTGTTTTAGTCTGTCTTTGTCATAGAAACAATCCTATTGTCTTAGTGACTTACAACATCAAAAAATTATTTCTTGATCATGTTACATGAGGGCTAAGAATTGGTTGAGGCTCTTCTGGGCTTTGCTGGCCTTCCCTCCAAATGTCTTATACGGTCGCCTAGGCCCAAAGAATAGCCACTACCTGCAACATGCTTTTCTTATGGTGGAGGTCAGGAGCAAGAGGAGCAAAGATAAATCATGCAAGTCATGTCTGTTCACATTCTATTAGTTAAAGAAAGTCAAATGACCAAGCCCAAGTCAATGGAATAAGAAAATATACTCCAGCTATGCAGAAAGTATGGCAAAGTCAGGGAGGAAATGAATAATTGTGAACAAATTGGAAATATTGTTAACAAGTATTCAAAATTTTTGCCCTTATGAAATGAAATCTCCAACCTCCACTTCTATTCCATCTTCTTTACTTTTATTTCTTCCACATTTTTCTTCTGCATTCTTATGTTTTTAAGGGATCATGTAATTACATTGGGCCCATGAATAATTCAGAATAATCCCCATATTTTAAGATCAGATGGATAGGCAAACTTAAATCCATCTTCGAAGTCCTTTCACAGCAGTATCTAGGTTAGTGTTTGATTAAAGAACAAGGGGCAGAAATCTTGGGAAGACATTTTTGAAATAGTGCCTACCACACTGGCTTCAATAATAAAGAAAAATAACTTGTGAACTCATCTAGACCTGGTCCATGTCACTGTCTTCTAGGATTTTGTCTATTCAAAATATTTACTCCTAGGGGTCAATTTTGTTTCTTCTTCTATGGTTGTTTCTTTTCTTAGTCATAATCTTACACCCTTTTTTGCTCCTCTTCCTTAAATCAGGCTTGAGAAGGGTTTATTCATTTTAGCGTATTTTAAAAACAAACACACAAAACAACAACTTTTGCTTTTATTTATCTTTTTGCATTATATTTTATTTTGACTTAAGTATTTTTAGTGTTTCTCTGTATTAATTTTCTATTCGTAATTTCTTTTGTATATTTTGTACTTTCTTTTTCCAAAATAAGAACCTTTGGATCCTTTTCACTAAGGACAAGGAGGAGGACAAGGAGAAGAGGAAGAGGGAGGGGATGAGGGAGGATGGATATGGGGATAGAAAAACGAAAACTATAAATTCTCTTTTGAACTAGATTTTGCTGTTGTGCCATAAAGTTTTGCAATGAAGTGGTTTCCTTTCCATTATTTTCTACTTTATAATTTAAGTTTTGATTTCTCTGTCATCTTTTCATTTTCAGATAGTAAATGTAGTTGGATTTTGCTGCTTTTTTTTATTCCTAATTTTATTGGATTATTTCAAAAAGTCTCTAATTTTTCTAAAGGTTAGGCATTTTGTATACCTTAAAACATAAGCAATTTTCTATGGACAAAATCTCAAATTTATTTTCTCTGTTTTAAAGAAACGAGGGTCTATATCCATCATATCAACTTTACTAATTGCATTATATAATTACTCTGTATCCATATTTTCGTTTTGTTTTACCTGTTTAACTCTGAAAGAGATGAATCGAGGTCTTTGACTATAATTTATTTCTATTACATTCTCCTGAGATGTCCAATAGCCTGCTTTATATAATTAGCCATTTTGTTTGATACAATGTACACCAAAGATGTTATAATATCATTTTTACATATTGTGCTTTTATTATTACATAAGGCATAAGGTATTTCTTTGTCTTATTTGTTTCTAACCCTAAATTTTAGCTTGTCTGATATTAACAATGCCATTCCAATTTTTTATTTTTCATTATTTTGGTATCTCCTTCCCCACTCCTTTTCAAGCTTTCTTTATTGCTTTATTTCTCATAAACAATATATAGTTAAGTGTTATTTTTTAACTCAGTCCGAGCCTCTGTCTTTTAATGGGAAAATTCAACCTATTCAAATATAGTAGGATGACAAATACTTGAGTTCTACATTTTTATGATTTATTTTTGTCATTTTTCATTTTCCTTGTCTTTTATTAATCCTATATTCCTTTAATTTGGAAGTCTTATTATATTTTCTATCAATAGTTAACTTCTATCGATTAAGATTATGCTTGAAAGTAATAACAAATCCAACGAAATAGTGTCTTATAGAAAATAGCATTGTGTGTGTGTGTGTGTGTGTGTGTGTGTGTGTGTGTGTGTGTGTCTGTGTGTGTAGGAAGTTGGGAAAGGCTGCCCTTCAATCTCCTTAAGCGCTTTTATTATTTTTCTCACCAAATTGTCCCTGGTCTCTTTTAGCAGCTCTTTGTGTCTGGTCATTTTATAGCTGGTTACTAAATAAGCTAGACTTGGCAAACAGGAAACAACTTCATTCTTTTCAAAATTTTTTCTCAATCTTAATCCTACAATATTATTATGTTTGCTTATTCCTCCCCATCCCTGGGTGAAATCGCTGGTAATTCTCATAGTTTTGCCGATTTCCTTGTTACATCCTGCCTGGCTGGCCACCGTCTACTGTTGGTAGATGGGTTGCTGTTTTTCTTAGCTGGCTCAGGGAAACTCAGCTTTGTTTATTGCAGTATCTGTAATTATAGGTGCATAAGTGGTGGAAGGTAAATCCTTGCCCACAGTGGACTGGTGCTGTAGAAGCAAATAAGGCATTTGAAGAAAAATTTATGGATCTCTGACTTACCAGTTTTCTCACAGGTTTAGTGGTTTTCTTCTTGGCTTCCTGAGGCCAAGGAACATTTGAGACTTGGAACATTTATAAACAGCCAAAGGCAACCTTTCCCTGTTATAATCCACAGATCCAAACTGGCCAGCTAATCCCAGGACACAGCACAACTTCCATCATGACTGTGACTTAGACACTAAGATTTCAGCATCAGAAAATAAACCACTTCTAACCATGCACCCACTGCTTTAAGGTCCCAGCACCTGTTTGGTTTAGAAGATGATACATTTAAGCTGAGAGTAGAAGACAAATGTGTTACAGATGAAACTTATTGTATTTCGTTGACCAATGCCACCATAAAAAACAATCAATTAATTAATTAATTTAAAATGATTATAATAATAAAAATTTAAAAAATTAAAAAAATAGAAAGAGGACAAATATGCTGAGTTTAAGTTGCCATCCTTCCAGAATTCACTGCTTCCAGCAGCTATTGTAATGGAGAATCCGCAGACAAATGGAATTTTTAAGTTGTTTGAGTGCCTTCCTGAAGGCACAAGCTCTAGCGGAAACTTCCCAAAGTACCTAATACAAAAATTCTCAGTTCTAAAGTACTACTTTAGGCTAAAGTCTAAATACTGTAGTTAAGTTTAGCATTTAAATTAGAAAAGATTGAAGAGACTTTGGGGAACATCTTTTAAGAAATTATACTTATATTAAGGGCAGGGGAAAGGGTGGGAATAGGAAAGAAACCTTTAATGAATGTTTGCCATACTCAAGTCCTGAAAATAATAATACTGCAATAAAGTATTGTTGTCCCCATCTTAAAGAGGGGATATGGTAAACTGAGGCTGAGATAGTTTTTTGCCCAAATTCGCTCATATAAAGTGAAATAGCAATATAATAATATACTTAAAATGTTCAATACTTTATAGGATTCTCTACCAAAATTATTTAGCTTATGAAGGATAAGTTATTCTTTTAAATATTTACTTATCCAGAAAAAAAAAGTCAAAAGTTGTACTTGGAAAATGCATTATATAGTAAAGACGTTCTAATATTTACAAACAAAAGTTATTTAAAATTTTACAAAGCTTTTTTAATTGCATAAATTGCTAAGTAATACTATTTTCCAAAGATTATCCAAAATACTGACACAAATAATTCCACAAGCATCGAGTAAATGGTACATTTGTCTTGTTTTATATGTAGTTGTAGAGCAAGGTTATTGACATCTGGCTTCCAATAGCAAATTTCCAGAATCTGTTCATGACATTCTCGGTCCAAATCTTCACTGGAGGAATGCTGGTGATTGGGGAAATCTAATTGAGATCATCAAAATCCATGAACTAGTTCATCTTGTTGATAATTATTTCCTAATTTTGTCCTCTTATTTAGTGAAAATGTTGGTTTTTCTTAACAGACTACTGTTGATTTATAACTCCAATTTCTATGCTTTGCTCTCTTATATCATCCATTAGAACATTACCATTTAGATAACAATTTCTTCTATGATCTTGGAACTTTGTTATTTGCTTCTTATTACCAAAATATTGTTGTATAAACAATACTTTATGAGGCTTTTAAATTTTACTTAACAGTTTAACAAATTATCCAGCGGTGTTACATTTTGAAATTTATGGACCTTGATTACATTTTTTAAAGGCTTTGAGCAATATTTGACAGGTAAGGCACTGAATTTGTTCATTGGTTTTCCTCCGGATAATATTCCTTCAAATTTTCCAGTTTTAGTCTTCATTTCTTGAGTAACAGTTTTATCAAAGAAACCTACACCTTTTTTTGTTAGGCTGGAAAAAGTCTCTGAGAAATTATTGAGTTTATTCCAAGATATATTTTCAAATGTCTGCATACTAGTTTTCTTCTTTAGTTTATTCTCTACAACTCTATGGCCCACTTCAAGAGCTATGGCTCGTATATCTTTCTTCCATACTGTAGACATAGTTCTTTTGGGTTTGGAAGGAGTAACAAATTGATCATTAATTAAAGATTTGAGGATTTCATGATTTCTTTCTAAAACAAAATTTACTTTTTTATATCGGGAAATGTTTCTATTTTCTGAAGAATGGGGAAGAAGCCTATTTTTTGTTAAAAGTAACATTTGTACATATCCAGTCTTATGAAAAATTATGGGATTTGTGTCATTTAATGCCTGTGGATTAAAGAAAAGACTACTTAGTCATCAGTCTATTGAGGCAAGAAGGCTACATATATTTTTAAACATGAAAATAAAGTGGTGAAATATTCTAGAATGACTAGATTAAAATTTTAATATGAACAACAATGGTATTCAAACACACAAAAACACATGTACTTGTATGTGACACACTTCCTTTTCTTCTTAATAGCATTTCAAAATGTTAGGGGTAAATCTGAACTTTTAGCCTCCTAAAATCTTATTTGAAATAAAGTTGGATATGAAGAAATAAGTATATTTTAAACATTTGAATTGTTGTCTTTGGGAAATAGAATAATTGGAGGAATAAAACATCGTGCTGGCATTTCTTGGGTTTCCATGTTCAGAAATAAGCATACCAAAAAATGGATGAAATCAAAGGTCATAAGAGACATAACTGATTACAAGCCCAAATTGTAAAGTCTGGATATCCTAATAAATAATACAGAAAATCTAAAATTATCTGTATGATTATATTTGTTATTGTATCCCAACACTTACCACAATACTTAGCACATAAAAAGCGCTCAAATGTGGCCTTGGCGAAGTTGCCAGAGTGGCAATGCAGCCCCCGACTGAGTGGATCTCTAAGACCTATAGCTATCTCACTCCTGACCACTGGGAAGAGAGACTCACACCAGAGTTTCTGTGCAGATGACCCAGGCTCCAGCTGTGGCCACTACATAATTTTATACAAGAAAAATAAAGCAAATTGAGCTTTTTTTTTTTTAAGTGCCCAAAGTGGAACAAAATAGCCAAAGTAGTAGATTGACTTAAAAATAGACTATTTTTATCACAGTAGCAGCAAAAACTGTATGTATGAATTACTCACTAAATTCTTTCCTACATTTCTATTCTAGGACCAAAAAAAAAAATTAACTCCAAAAAAACTGGTAAAATGAATATTACCAGTATTTAGTTTGCAAATTTTAACTCAATGACTGCTACTTTTCCTTTAGAAATATAATTAGTGAAATAAGAAACTAGGATCTATCTAATTGTATATTAGTGTACTTTGTTTAAAAGGCATTTTAATGCCTATGATTACTAAGAAAATTATAAAAGATCTAGTTTTGCAGTCCACTGGTGATGTCAGTGTTATCTACTTAGCCACAGTAGTGGAGATTTGGCATATTTTTGGTCTATCCAACACCTTAGGGAATTTTCCACCTTACAGTATGTATACCCTTAGGTAGAAGCAGAAACTAATTTTATCAACCTCCCTTGAGGTTAGAGCATAGGTATGTGACCTAGGCTCTGCTAATAAAATATACCTAAGACGGTTTTTAGTTCACAAAAAGCAAGCACTATGAAAAAGTAGGCATTGTGAAAACTATTCTAGTGAGAATGGTGGTAGATATATGAAGCTTTGAAAGGCAGCAGTGGGAAAGGTCTTAGAAATAGTGTCCCCTGCCCAGAATCAGGGTTGTAAACTTATCTGTTACAATACCATGGGCCCTGGTGGAGCAGCCTGAGGCTGTAATTGGGTGAATCCTGATTGGATAGCTTGCAAGCCAGATTGTCTCTCCGGCCTTCCTAGAGACTCTGGGAGCTACCAAGTAGCTTTAAAATGTATTTTCTTGTTGAAATAGCTAAAGTAGATTGGTAAAAAAGTGATACATGATCCAGTCATTTTAAAATATACCGTTTTTATTTTATATTTCTTTTATAACCAAGGAAATTGATAAAGGCTTCTTCATAAAGAAAAACACAAAATTTCCAATTGGTACAAAGGAATCCCTAGTTTGGGGTGGCAGTTCTAAAAAGACCATTAAGAATTTAAGTGTTATTGTCATGTTAGAATGTGAAACCAAGTGAAGGATTTATCAGAGTTTCTGGTCACTGGAAGATGATATTTCCACAAGTAGTAATAATACACATATGTACTGAACAGTAGAAGATACTCATCTTACCGTGTCAGAAATTACTCTTTTCGCAGGGCTAGTGCTGATTATTTTGGCATTTGGCTTTTTCAATTCATCTTCAAAGCATAAGGGAAGCAAGCTTTTCTTTCCCACTGAACAATGCTCACTTAATTGATCATTTCTGACAGATTTATTTTCTTTGGTATTAAAATCATTCATCTGCGGAGGAGTTGTTCTTCTGAAAATAAACACAACTTCAGCATAAATGTCTACAGGGCCGATTTCAGCTTGTCAGTTCTTGTCTGCCTCCCTCATTCCTCAAAATCACTGCCAAACCCTCTGCCATGGACTTTCGACCTGACAAAATCATCCCTTCTGCCTGGTTTGTGAGGGAAAACAGCAAAAGCAGTGGTGGAAGTAAGATGGTAATATGTGTGCCTCTTTAGTGTTTGAGTGAGGAGGAGGTGTATTATGTAAGTTTTGGAGAACACCAAAAGTAAAGAGGTATTTCCACATCCTTCATTAACATTCTGAGAGAAAAATGCTTTGCAGAACAGCTTCTTGCCAACACAGGGTGGTTCCAGCTTTGTTAACAGGATTGAATAGTGTGGTTGGGCAGAGAGAGAATATAGTTTTAATTCCAGATCTCCCTTGGTTCACATGTGACATAAACACTGAGTTTATGCTTGCCATGGGGCTTGCTATTGCAAGAGTGAGGTAATCCATAGAAAAGAATTGACATAAGTGATGGACAGTCTAAGGGCAGATGAAGGACATGGCAGAGACTCAGATAATTCTATCATGCCAATGAGAATTGAGAGTGGACCATATCCAGATTTAGAAAGAATAGAACATAAGTTCATGAATCACAGGTATCAGCAGCCACAGAACATCTAGGTATGAGACCAGCAGTACAAGGACATTGACCAAGACTTTTGATCAAGACCCAGTGAGCCCCTCACTCAACTACTCAAATACCATCTCAGAAACACAAGGACTGAGATAAACTTAAAGAAACTGTATATTATTGCTCTGAACAAATTTTAAGACATATTGGATTAATATGATTTCTTTTTTAGAGTTTGAGGATCTCATGAGAAAGATCAGAACTTTATGCAAAAATAAAAAGCTACATTTCTCACATCCATGTTATAATGTAACTAAACTTGTGTCTCTGCTACAAAAACACAACTGTATTCTTTCCATTCATTTTTCCATGTCTTTTTCTCCATTTAACTATAAACTTGCAGCAGATACAACATGTGCTCAAGATCTGAATATAATGCTGAGTAGCTAACCAGTCTAGGACCAGCCATTGGATTGTAGTATAGGCCTACATAGCAATAAAAAGCCAGAATCAATTTATTCTGGTCCATTAGAAAATAAAAAGCTTCCTATTAGAAACATCATTGAACAGAATAAAATATGAAAATTTTAAAAATAAATTACCTTTTATTTACATAATCTTCTAAGTGACCAACCAAAGCAAATGATTCCTTAGGTTTTTTTTCATTTTGAACTGAAATTGTAAAAGATTTTCATAAAATGTACATATACATGGCATTTAGAAAATACTTTATGTAAAATATTTTAAAATATAAAATAACATATAGAAAGCCTCTGGTATAGAATGTGCCTGATCTGTAGTAGCCTGATCTCAGTAAAAACTTCAGTGAATGAGATAGAACTAGAAAAGACTGAGATCAAGGGTCTAATATTTGGCTAAGACAGATCAAACATAAAACTAGTCTTAGAGATTTTTGTGGGAGAAAGGCATATTTCAGATGTCTCCAATATATAAAGTCATTATTAGCCAGGAGGAAGCCTCAGATGGTTGAACACTGTTGGTATGGAGGGAGGTTAGTTAGCAAAGGTCAGGTAGATCTGGCCAATTGGTATGAAGAAAGTGTCCAAAGTCGAACTCTTCCAAATGCGCTTGGTAGCCACTCCAGCATTTCTCTACTTTCTTAAAAGTGTTCCCAGACATACACGTTATTAGCAATAGATTCAGCTTTTTTTCTTGTCCTCAAGTAGTTTGTATTCTAGTGTACTGCTTCTCAACCTTTTCCACATCATGGCAAACATTTCAATTAATGTTTTTTGTACACCAGAATAAATACTTGAGTACACTTGTAGCTAGGCTACCATAGGACCAACCCAGCAGTCTCGAAGGCTGCTGGATCAATATTTCAGCATACCTATAACCCTCCTAGCACAAGAGGTTACCACAGTATATTGGTTGGGAAACTGTTTTAGAGGGAGGAAATAGTCAATAAATCAACACACAAGTATATAAAATAATTTCAACTACTTGTAGCTATTATGAAAAATATAAATATGGGTCTTCACCTAGGGTGGCCTTAAAAGGCCTCTCTCAGCAGAGGAAACAGGAAACAGGAAGTGTAAAGGTTTCTGTGAAACCATCTTGGAATGCTGAAGGAACTGAAAGGCCAGTGTTGCTGGCGTGTAGTGAACAAGGGGAAGAGTGGAGTAAGATAAGATGAGACAGGTATCGGGGACCAAATCACATAGGGCCACATAAGCCACAGTAAAGAGTTAAGATATGATTCTGGTTATAATGGAGATCATTTGGAGCATTTTAAATGGAATAATAAAGTCGTTTGATTTATCTTTCAGAAAGATCACTCTGCCTGCTCAGAAATGGATCACCTATGGAGGTATGGGAGAATGTGGATGGCAAGAGTAACAATGGAGTAACCAATTAGAAGGCTGTTGCTGGGGTCTAGATAAGACATATTGGTGGATTAGACAAGAATTATAGCAGAGGAGATGGTAGGCTTCAAATTATATTTTGAAGGTAGATACAACTGTACTGACTAGTGGATTGAGTATGTAGCATAAGGGGAAAAAATTAATCAAAGACGATTTCTAGGTTTTTGGCCTCAGCAATTAAGTAGATGCCGTTTATACTAATGGGAAAGGTTAAGTGGGAGAAAGATAGGCCCACTCCTTGAAATCAGGAGCTGGGTTGAGGTTACTAGCTTGTGAAAAGAAACTAAAATCAGTCCTTCCTCACTGACTGAGAAAAGTATCCTAGAAACTATTTAGAAAAATGGGTTTTTGAGCATTCTAAATGTTTGTTTGACTTCCCCGGGCTGCTCTTCCACCTGGGTCCTGTGCGTTATTGCAGCAACCAGCCTGGTGCCCATGTCCATCCGTCTCTGTTCCCTTAATCACAGGCTAGCTGCTGTCCAGATTGGCACATGCCAATCACTTCATCCTGGCTATTTCTCCTGACAGGGATTTTGCACAATAGCTTTGGCATCAAAAGTCCAGGGGTCATTGTCTAGAACCAAGGGCTTCAGTTTACTCCTGAATAATCTTCTCCCAAATAAAAGTTTCTATGTTTGTCACTAGTTGAGCTATTAAATGGCTAGTTCTAAAACCTCCTAAATTCTAAAACTAAGTCATTGGTACATCTCCATTTCAATTAATGTGTTTAATGGTAATCTTTAAGTGTACAAAGTACAATTAGAAAATAAAAGTTGTCCATATTAAAAAAAAAGTCAGTCCTTCTCACTGCCAACTGGGTATCCAAGAACTCAGTCAAACCACACCTAGGCATGATGACTGGATCTGCCATGTCCTCAATACTTTTCTGGTAGGGAAGCCCACTCACAACTCTAAAATATGGTTTAGCCTGATGGCCATCAGGTCTGAGTGGCAGCAACTACGAAACTTCCAGAAAGGTGAAGTGAGTAAATGTTGGGTGAAGAAAGAAACTTTTCAAATTCTAAAACACATGAAAAATATAAAGCTAAGGAAAACAACCAACAAAGTCAACAAATAGAAGACAAATTCAGCAATGAAATTAAGAAAACTCTAGAAACAATTCTAAAATTCTTAGCATACCTCTGTTCTAAGGTGTATATTAGCATTCAGTCATAGTTTAATTAGCAGTGTCAATTGGTGACATCTTAGATTTGATAGAATATGTTTAGGAACTTCAAAGATATAAATTAAAAGAAGATACCATGAGATAATAACAGGCTGAAGGAAAAAAAGGAACAAGTCAATATAAAAAGAAGTTGAAAATCTTGGAAATAATGTAATTCTAGATTACGTAGCCAAAGGCAGAATTAACGAACTGGAAGAAAACACCAAGGAATTCACTAAGAATGCACAGAAAAATAAAGATATGAAAGAACAGCTAGAAAACACGAAAGGCAGACTGAAGGACTTCCATATTTGTCTTATAGTTCTGGAAGAAGAAAATAGAGGAAATGACGAAGAACTATATTAGAAGAGGTAATGACCAATAGTTGTAACTAACAGAAGTGTATTTCACATCTATGGCCATGCCACCCTGAACAAGCCCGATCCCATCTGATCTCGGAAGCTAAGCAGGGTGGGGCCTGGTTAGTACTTGGATGGGAGACCACCTAGGAAGACCAGGTGCTGTTGGCATATAAAAAATAAAGGGGGAGATTGTAAGCTGACAAGGTCCTTGCAATCTGTGAGGTCAATCAAGGTCCTTGCAATCCGTAAAGTCAAAAAAGAAGTGTATTTTACACACTGAACCGAAGATAAGAAATAGGAATACTGATGCATTGCAGTAAAAATGTAGATCATAAAAAATGAGGAGAAAATAGTAAAACTATCAGAAAGTAATGACATTAATTGTCATTCTACAAAGAAATGACAATTAGACCAAGAGCAAAATTCTAATCTATAATGGATTCCAGAAGATAATGAATTGTATCTTTAAAGTACTAAGAGAAAACAATTTTCAACCTAAAAGTCGACATCAACTTAACCGTCGTTCAAGAGTGACAGCAAATTAAAGACATTTCTAGATATACAAAGGTCAAAAAGAATTAACAACTGAAAGATCATCATTGAAAATATTTAAAAGATGTCGTTTAGGAAAAATAAAAGTGAACACAGATGGCAGGATGCAGGAGACAATGATGAGCACAGAATTTAATAAATTATGTTATATATTTAATTATAACATAATTTATGATTTTAAAAACTCTTATTTTGTATTTTAAATATTCTTATTATGTACTGCATTTATACAAGCTCTTTTCTCAGATTATTTTAAAAATTAAATATTAAATTATTTTCCATAGATTATTTTAGATATAATAGATTTTAATTTATTGTATTTTTGGTGTTTTAGAATTTCACACTGTTAGTCTTTTGTTTTCTGAACTTTACTGTTATAATTTACATACAGTAAAATGCACACATTTTAAATGTATAGTTTGATCAATTTTGACAAATATATGTATACATACTCCTGTAAGCATTGCCAAAACCAAGATATTAAGTATTTTCATTATCCCAAAGCATTTTTCCCATGCCCTCCTTTAGTCAGTTTATTCAATTTGTTCTGTTCTCTCATTCAAACATACTGGTTATCTCAGTGTTGGATATCTGTTTTCTTCCCTCAATATACTATTTTGTCTAATCCAGTCATATCTTTGTCCCTTTACATTGTATTCCAGGTAATTTTCGTAAACTTGCTCTTTAAATCTTTGATTTGGTTTATGCCAACGTTTAGTCTATTCTTTACTACTTTTAACATAATTTTGAGTTCTACATTAGCATTACCTGTTTCCTTAAAAGTATTTTATTCTTCATAATTATCTTTCATATTTTCAAATCTTATTTAATGGATTCCTTATCTTCTTTAATTTTTTGACCATATAAAGTGAATTATATACCTGTTTCATGGGTAAAAATTCTGTCAAAATGTGACCATCAGCTATCTTTCAAATTATTTCCTTTCTTTGCTACAGAATTTTGATAGGTCCAGTGCTTTGTGCTTGTTTCTTATCCACTAACCTTTGAATCAGGACACTTAAATCGTTACTTGATATTAGTCCAAAAATAATATGGGTAAATTTTCTTTGGATTCTCTCCCTGTTTATCCAGGTACTATTAAATTCTCTGTTTAGAAATTAACATATAATCCCAGATCTTATTACCTTATGCTTTGAGTTCAGGCATTTGGCTACCTGAACAGGCTTGTTAGGAAGATGGAGCCCTGAAAAATCACGGGGAAATTTGTTTCTGTGAAACCTCTATGTGACTCTAATGTGGTGATGGTGATGGTTACTCTGTTCATTTATATGTGAAGTGTCATTTGAGTTTCAGTTTTTTACCTCTCTCTTGGGGTAAGCAATTCAATTTGGGGAGTTTAGTAAAAGAAAGACCTTGGGCTGTTTGATGGGATCATATGGTTTTTCTTTACACAGTTATCTTTGTGGTTATTATTTGTACTTGCAAAGATGGTTCCTAGGAAATTGTGTATCTTCTGTTGTCAATTCTCTTTTTAAGACCTTGCTCCTTCAAGTTAGCAGGTTTACACCCTGAGTACATTCGAAGCAAAACTAGGAAAGCAGGAGAAGAAATGACTAGATATGGTCATTATCTTTCTCTCAAAACACCACTAACACTGATTTGGAATGCTGTTGACTTGCAACGAGGAAACAGGTATAGAGGGGAGAATTTCCCATCTTTCTGTGACCCATCATTGATAGCAAACCCTTTTTCTTTGAGTATGTGTGGGGGAGTGGTGATTAATAGGAGTGTTTTCAGAATATTTTCTACAGGCTCTTTGAATTTTCCTCCTTTCTCCTAGGAAATGGAGGTGTGCATTGACTTTTGGAGTTTTCTTTCAAACTACTTCGTGTTGTAATATATAGTTAGATATTATTTGAATTTGGGATAAAATGTTCTAGTTTTAATTTAATAATTTTTCTTCTCTATTTTTCTTCTTTTTTTATGAATTTTGGCCAGATAAACTTGTATTTATGTTGCCAACTTTCTCGGAAGTCTTAATTTGGGACTTTGATAAAAGAATTATAATGCCTTTTCTATAGAGAGACTCAAGAAAGTTTATAAAAGGAAATTCGTTTTGCTGAAATTGTAGAACAGCCTATCATTGCTATCAGGGAGCACTTTGGAGAAGATATGATACTTAAGAGGAATCTTTAAGAATAATGTGGTAATAACGCCAGTTTAACAGTCCTTTTTCCCTTTCCTTTGCTAACAGAACTCTTATCTTAGTCATCTTCCTCCACGCAACTATGTTCTTCAAGTGAACGTGGGCTCCTTCCTAACTCAAGGAAGTGAATCCTAAATGATCTAAGCCTGTGCTTTTCGATATGTGAGCTATAACCCACCAATTTAGACACTAAATCAATTTAGCATCTCCTGACCAACATTCTAGTAAATGAAATAGAATAGAATATATCACATGAACCCTTAGTAATAAATGTACAAAACTCTAAAATACTGCAATCAAGTTTAGCTAATAGAAAGACAAATAATTAGGACTCCATGAATCTGAATTTTCTGCTCCTCATATATATCATATATATTAAATTATGATGTAAAAAATATTTCTCACTGTGTGAGGCCATGTTAAAAGTTGAAAAAACTGATTTAAACTGATAATGATTTATTGATTTAGATATGAGTGCATGAAGCTATTCTAGCCAAGGAGACACAAGGGGAAGTCAAGTTTCGAGGAATGTTTTTCTCATTCCCACAAAGAGACCGAAGAGCTTTTCTCTTTTTCATTGGATATTGTTAACAATACAAGTTATCTTAACTAGTAGTCATCATATTGTACAGCAAGGCTAGGAGGACAAGCTATTTAGTAAGACAGTTGAGGAAAGTTGAGGAAAGATATTTAGGCATCATTAAACTTCTGAATTAACCAATCCTGGAATTGCTTTACTGAGAGCCTTCTTGTTATTTCATATTATAGATATCTTTATTGTTTAAGCCACACATAATCAGATTTTCTTTTAATTGCACCTAAAGGTATCCTACCCATTAAAGATGAGTAGAAATCTATCAGGTGGAAAAATATGTTCTGAGCATAGAGAACAGAATGGATCAAATCACATAGTAGTTAGAACAGACTGTTCATTATGACTAGAATCACTATGGATAAAGAGACAGAATAGAAGGCTGGAAAGATATATACCATGCTAAGGAATCCAGACTTCACCATTTTTGCAATAGTCTTCACATGTTATTAAGTAGTGAAATAATAAGGTAATATAATCAGAATCTGATGTTCCTTGGTTAAAGATTTTCTTAATGCTTATATCTTAAAGTTAGATATGGTTAATTTTCAGTTATTTCAATATGAACACACAATGAGTATACCTGTAAATAATGTGGAATCTTTTTCCTTCTTACAAGCACTAGATTGAATTCTGGGTACAGAAGAATAGGTTATAGAGCCCAATGTTCCTCTAAATTCTTGTCTATGCTGTGAATATAGAACATGTAAGAAATTAGCATTTTCCACCTAAACATCAGAAAACATGGAAAACTGTTTTAGAAATTTTTTCTTGTTGTGTACATTGATCATTTGTATTTGATGATTCATATTTGGAATATTTAATTATGATAACTAACAGCAGTCTAGTTCTTTAAATACTTTCAAATACAAACCCTGTGAGATGGGTGTTATTTCCACTTTATGGATGAGAAAACAAATCTACAGAAATTTTAAAATTTGCTTATGCTTATACTTTTTATTAATTTTACTTTCTTTATCTTTAAAACCTAGCCTTCATATTCATATAAAATTTATTTCAAGTTTAGGGCAAGTCTAAAGTTTAAATACTGAGAAACAAATAGCTCTCTCAGTTTAAATAGCAACTGTACTTTCTCATACATGGAGTAGGTACAGTATAATAGTATTGAGTAAAGGGGGAGAAACTGGAAAAATGATTCAGATTTTCCTAAGTTAGAGTCTCACATTGGCTCTATATTTTTACTTAAATACACATATCTAAATATATAAAATATGCACATACATATGTAAGTATAAACTGTATAACTTGTGATTCTTCAACAATAAACCCAATGTTTGTTTAGCACCCACAATTTTTTTCACACTGAGCACAAAACATATTTAGTTTTGGATAATATGAGATAAAAATAAAGCATATGTCAAAATTCTAAGCCATAAAGAGCGCACATTCTTATTAGATAGATATGACTAGCATACATAAAACATCAGTAAATAACATAATATAGTAATATTACAAAGAACCAAGCTAATCAATAAATGATTTTAGAAAAGAGGGATATCAGTGAGGGCAGAAATAAACAGGAAAGATTTCATCATGAAGAAGAACTTAGTGCTAGGATTTGAAGATGAGGGCATTTCAGAAGAGGCCAACAACATAAGCCTAGAGTATTCATAAGACAGTCGAGGAAACGGCTTATTTAGAGCAAGCAAGGGGCATTTATATTTATGAGTATATAAGATAAGTCTGAATAGGTAAGAAGGAGAGTTTTGAGAGGATTATACTATGAATGTCTTGAAAATCAAACAGAGGAACTTTAACATAAAGAAAAATTACTAAAATTAACATGAGAAGTAAAAAATTTGAGTATACCCATAATTCTTAAAAGAAATGTAAAGAAGTTTTTAAATAACTACCTTTAAAAGAATAAGCAGGCCCAAATAGATTTATTGATAAATTTTTTCAAACTTCTAAGCAACACATAATTCTTATGCAATGTCATGTCAATTAAATTAAAAAGTAAACAACAACAAGAACTTTTCAGTTTTTTTTAATAAGCTGGCATAGTTTTGACACCAAAGTCTGAAAGGTTGATGCACCAGAAGAACCCTACAAACTAATCTCATATATGACTTCAGGAGTTTACACAAATTCAGAATAAAATACTATTCAACACTATGCTAACAGCATAATTCATAATGGCCAAATAAAATTATCAAGAAACTAAAGGTTACTAATAGATACATTATTATAATTCATCACCCAATAAATTAAAGGAGAAAAACATTGTAATTATTTCCAAAGCTGCAATATTTAAAATACATTTGATAAATTCAACAACCATCATTGATAAGAACTGTAATAAAACTACAAAAGAAGAATATTTTCTTAATACGTTAAAGAATATGCTAAATTACTTAGCATAATTAAAAAAATTATACCCATATAAAACCAATAACTAACTTCCTGGTTAATGATAATACACCACTCTATGGCATGACAAGAGTGACACCTATCATTCATATTACTTATAAATGTTTAGTACGTATTGAGCAATGCAGGAGGAAAAGATAACGAAAGTAGTAAAAACTTTGGGTAATTCTAATTCAGTATGACTGAGTAAGCCCCTACCAGACCCACTCTCTCTCAGATAACAGCTATAAACTCTAGACAAAATACTCTAGAAAAAATACACACACACACACACACACACACACGTTACCTGAAGGTCCTGGAGAGTGAACAAAAGCAGGTGACAAAGAAAGAGCACTGAAACTTGAAATAACTAACTTGCACAGGGAGAAATTTCTATTTTTACGGGTTTTAGTTTGAAGGCGGGTTGAAGTTGGCGCTGCATGGGGCATCTAAAACGTTGATAAAAAATGTATGTTCTTCTTGGCCAGAAGACACAAAGGATAAAGTTTGGGGTGACCAAAGAAGAAAACCAAGGTGGTAGCCCCATCCCCTCTATATGAACCCTGTCCAAGACTCTCACTGCCCCTTGACCAATGAATGTTTAGGAAAAACTTCAAGCAATCCAACTAAGGATCAAAGAACTGAACTGAAATTTGAGCTGCCGTTCAAGAGACAGTGTTTATATTTTGAGCCCAACCAAGTTAATTAACTGCTAAAACAAAAACATCAATACTCCTTGCAGGAGTATAATAGATTCCAGAGTCCCCTCATTATAACAGTCATAATGTCCAGGGAAAATCCAACTTGACAAAAACCAGGAAAATGAAACCTAGTCTCAAAAGAGAAGACAATCAATTGAGATCACCTTGAAATGATCCACGTGTTGGAACTAACAGATTTTAAGGCAGCTAGTATAACTGTGCTCAGTGAAAAGGTAAAATATGTTCATAGTGAATTAAAAAAAGGGAAATCTTATCAGAGAAATAGAAACTATTTTAAAATATGGAAATTTTAGACCATATATAATACCTGAAATAAAAAAATTTACTGGTTGAAAGTAAAGCAAAATGGAGAACAAAGTAAAGTGTCAGGGAACTTTAAGATAGAGCAATAGAAATTATCCAACATGAAAAAAAAGAAGAAAATATTTTGAAAATAAAAGGAATTCAGGAACCTGTGGGACAATAATGAAAGATCTGCCATATGCATAATAACAGTCCTCAAAGGAGAGGAGAGACAGAATAAGGTAGAAAAATAGTGGTCAGAAGTTTCCTTATTTGAGGGAAGACATAAATTTATAAATTCAAGAAGCTTAGTATAACATATAACATTTTAATTTTTAAAAAACAAACCCTAAGCAAGATAAATATGAACAGAACCGTACTGAGACATATAGTTAAACTGCTGAAAACCAAAGATGAGAACATCTTGAAAGTAGCTAGAGGAAAAAAGTTACATAACAGAACAATTCAAAATACTCCTGACTTCTTTTCAAAAGCTATGGAGTTCAGAACTATGAACGACAGTAGACATTGGAACATCATTAATATGCTGAAAGAAAAAGAATTATTGGCTGGAATTTTTTATCAAGTAAAAATTTCCTTCAAGAATATTCTTAAGACATTTTCAGGTAAAAGAAAAACAGAATTTGTTGCCAGCAGACCTCTGTTAGAAAATGTGCTTAAGGAAATTCTTCAGTCTGAAGAGAAATGATACCAGATGGAAAACTCGTATCTTCAGGAAGTACTGAAGGGCATTAGATTCAGTAAATATTTGATTATTTTTTACCTTGTTACTTAAAAAAAAAAAAAGAAGAAGAAGAAAGAAAGAAAGAAACAGGAAGAATGGAGTAGAAGGGCTTTGTGTTCTTATTAGTCTTTCTGTATTATTTAATTTTTAAAGTCACACACATATTTTAATTTGTTTTTTAAAAATTAAAGTGTTACGTGTTTTATACAAGATGCTAGTAAGTTTATTATGATAAATAAACTTACTGTGATGTTAAAATATTTATTTCTTCAGAGATTTTTATTAAACATGAGCCCAGATAAACCAGGTAGATGAGAACAAAACTAATATTCTAGACAATGAAGACTGTCAATATTTTTTAAAATTTCAAAAGGCAGGAATATGCAACAAAAATTATAGCATGTTATTAATTATGGTCCAAAGTATGTATTTCTTCATGTTTCATTCTCATATTGGCAATAATCAGCATTAATAATAAGAAAATATCTAAGAGACTCTTAATTGACTTTCTTCTGCTGATTCTCTGAATTAACTTCTCCCTCTACTATCCTAGATAAAACCTACTGAATGATATCCAAGACATGCTCAATGCTTATGGCTAGTCATCTACTTTTCAGTATGCCAATGAACCTCTATTCAAGTGGTTATCAAGAGTCAATAATGATGGAACTAAACCTGCTATGGTAGTTGTTATTGTAATTATATAATTTAAATAACTATAGCATGCTCCAAATGGTCTTGGCTACATATTAAAAGATTAACAAATAGATATATATTTTCATATTTTAAATTAAAATAAAATATTTAAGTTATGTATACATAGTTTTTAAGATGCCATCTTAACCAACTTTATGATAACCACTCATATTCAATAAATAATTTCATATTATACTGACTGTCTAACAAATAATATATTATTTTCTCCATACATAAAGTTTTCCATAGTATCAGAGGTAAAATCATTTTAAAATCTTATGCTTTTAATCCTAAAATCCATTTGAATTTGGGATTTGTAGAAGCATATGTAAAATTATTAGGGATATTTTGAATTTCTATTAAGTAATTGTAAGCATACAAATTAAACCTACCTCATCTGTATCTTTAAGATAATGGAAAGGTCTACTAGATCTTGATTTTAGATTTTCTTCTGGTTCTAAAGAAACAAATAAGATAATAGTCCTTACCTTAACAGAGATGCTGTGAGGATTAAATGAGATAATAGATGTAATAAACTTAATACAATGTCTAGTATTCATTCAGTCAATAACTATTTGTTGATCATGCATGCCAGGCACTGGTGTTGAACTCTGAAATTGTGATTCCTTCCCAATGATGCATACATTTTAGTGGGTAACACAGAAAATAACAAAAAAACAAAGGAGTGAATAATTATAAATTGAGAACATGCTGTGACAGCAACAGATTTTTTTTATAATTTAGATAGGATAGTTGCTATGTACTGAAGGTTTGTGTCCCTCCCAAAATTTGTATGTTGAAGCTCTAATCCTCAATTTGACAGGATTTGGAGATGGGCCTTTGGGAGGTCATTAGTTTTAGATGGGGTAATGAGGATAGAGCCTCCATGCTGGGATTAATGCCCTTATAAGGAGAGACATGAGAGATGATGTCTCTTTGCCATGTGAGGACACAGCAAGAAGGCATCTGTCTGAAAACCAGGAAGAGGGAGGACCTTCCCCAGAACCTGACCATACTGGCACCCTCATCTCAGACTTCCAGAACTGGAAAAATAAATATTTGTTATTTAACTCACCCAGGTGTTGGGTGAGGGGACTGACAAACAAAATGGATGCAGTCAGGCTCCCTCCCAGCAAGCCATGTGGTTTCAGGGCAACCCTAGATACAGAGTCCCAGGTGACCCTAGATACATCGTCCTATGTAACCTTAGATACGGCGTCCTATACAACCTATAGATTGTGATTGATTAGAGTACCTGGCCTTAAGCCACTATTATGCACCTTGTTATAAGAACAGCTCCACCTGTGCAGACTGGGGGGAGCTGGAACTGTGCCTGTGCCTTGCTGTATCCTGCTATGTCTGAATAAAGCTATGTTGCATCTGCCCATGGCTCCTCGCATATTCTTCCAGCTGCCAGAACCGCGCACCCCAAACTTCGGTACCCCAAACTTACAGAACACCAGGTTATTGTAGTTTGTTATAACCGCCTAAACTAAGAGAGAAATTGGTACTGAAAACTGGAGTGCTCCTGGGACAAAAAATAGAAGTGGCTTTGAACCTGGGTCATGGGGTAGAGGCTGAAAGGGTTTCGATGTGCATGCTAGGAAAAGCCAATATGTTCATGAAGGGATTTTAAAGGCAATTCTGTGAGAACTCAGAAATAAAGAGGAGAGGTGTAGAGAAAGCTTGCATCTTCTTAGAGAATACATAATCATGTGCAGAAATGTTGGTAGAAATATGGATGGTAAAGGCCATTCTGATGAGGTCACAGAAAGAAATGAGGAACGTGCTATTGGACCATGGACAAAAGGCTATCTTTGTTATAAAATGGCAAAGACCTTGGCTGAATTGTATTTGTATTCCAGTATTTTGTGGCAGGTAGAACCTGTGAACAATGAAATTGGGTATTTAGCTGAGATTTCTAAGCAAAGTGTTGAAAAGGCTTGGTTCTTCCTTACTGCATGCAGTAAAATGCAGGAAGAGAGAAATGAACTGAAGACAAAATTGGTAGGTAAAAAGGACCAGAACTTAAAAATTTGAAAAATTTTCAGCCTGTTCATATCACAAAAAAATGAGAGAGTATGTTAAAAAGAGAACACTAAAAGTGTGGCGGACTGACCATTTGTGAACTGACTGTGTGAACCACAGACTGAATCAGCTACCCCAGCAGAGACACTGTCAATTTGAACTTCAAGGGATGGAGAAGGGATAAAATGAAGGAAGGCTCTTAGAATTCTTGGGTTTTTCAAAGGTTAGATTTGGAAGAATAGCAGAGAAATCAGGCAATTTGAGACAATGTGGAGTCAAGGAACCTCAGTCAAGGTTGATGAGAATGATGCAATTGAATGTTAATGTCAGAGAAAGAAAAAGGCAACACAAAACACTTAAATTCTCTGAGGATCTATAATGCTGGTTCCTAGCTCACAGATTCCTTAAGTTTCTAGGAAAGTAAGTTCCTTTACTTGATAGTTCTTGTAAAATAAGTTTCTACTAAGCAACATGTCTATACTTGATTGAATTTTTAAAAACGATAGCAAGGTAACTCTTAGGGTTGAACTGAAAGGAAACTGAGATTTTCTTTCCAGGAAAATATATAAACATAAAAATATATTCTTAATTTGTGAATTATATAAATTGTCCATTCTAATATTTAACATCTGTTCCTCTTAGGAAATTCTTCTTTATAGCTCACTAAAATCTTTCACACTGCTAACCCATGTACTTTCAAGCAAATGCTTTCAATGGAGACATCAAATTATCAAGAAGTTTTGTGACACACATTAATAAATATTAAAGTATATGATAAAAACACGCATTAATAAATCAAAGGAGAAGTAAATATGTTACATAAAGCATTACCTATTGACTTGCTTTCTTGCTTTTTTATATTTGTTGGTACAGAGTGTATTCTTAAATTTAACTTTTCAGAATCACTCTTTCTAGGTTTAGGCTCATTTTTGAAAGAGACATATCTGGAAGAAAGAAAATTAATCTAAATTAAAATAATCAGAAAATTTGTAAAATTAATCTATAAAACGAATTTGGAGAAATGTGGCAAAGTCTTAGTTATAGATTCGGATGTTGTTTGTTGTAGCAATATATTACAGTATAAAGTATAAGACACTGGGATTAATTAAGCAGGAACTGAATATATTAGTGATAATCACTTGAAATAGAAAGAGACAGGAAAATGCTATTGTCATAAAATTTAGGGCACTCCAGAAAACTACTTTTCAGGAGCTGATTAACCCTTTTAGAAAAATATGCTGGGAAATTATTAAAAGAGATATTGGGGACATTGTCAGGCTTGAGTCAAAGTGGTGGGACATGGAGTTAGAATCAATTCAGATATCAGAATAGTATACCAGAACACAGTGTTTGTAAACAAGAATTTTTCTCCACTAAATTGTTGACTGTTGATGATATGTAAGAAAGTTAGTGGTATTATGTAATTCATGATATTTCTGACCCCTAAATGCTTGTTACCCATGACTCGGTCCTCAGACATTCAGACACTCACCTTTAGTTGATATTACCCAGTCCCATACTTTAAATAATACCTATATGCAGGTTTATAGTCTATACCCCATACTCTTCCCTGAGCTCCTGAAATTACATAGCCAGCTGGTACGTGACTTCTGCATTTATATGTATTATAGCCATTTCAAACTTAACGTATTCATAACCAAATTCTTGCTTCCACTTCTTTCCCAGTCTGTTTCTCACCCAGGTTTCCCTACCTCCATTCAGCCAGAGGCTCAGGCCCAAAACTCTGCAGTCGTCTTTGATTTCTCTTTCTCTCATTCCTCATTCCCAATTTGTTGGCAAATCTCACTGGATCTTTCTTTGAAATATATTCTAAATCCAACCACTTTTCTTATTACTTCTACCCTAGCCCAAGAACCTTCATCTCTCACCTGAACTATTTTTATACGTCTCTAGCCTTCTCCTGTCTGCTCTCTCTGCTATCACTCTTATCCCCAACGGTCTATTTTCAATGGTGACACATGTAAAATATAAGTGTATTGTCATTTCCCTCCAATTGTTTCCTCTCTGACTGAAAAAAACCTTTTAAAATTCTTATTGCAAGACAGAAAATTTCCCCTAATTTTAATATCGAATGCCCTTGCAGTCCTTTCTGTTCACCTGCTTCCACCCCATGTGGAAGCAAAGTAAATATTCTGGCTGTTTGGTTTGAGGAAAGCAACCTAAGCTCTCCCTTAATGACCTTGGCTCTTGCTCTTCCCTCTGCCTGCAATTGTCTTCCCACAGGTATTACAAGGCTTACTCCCTTAAATAATAGAGACCTATTTCATAATGCCTGTCAGTCTTAATTCCCTTAATTTACTATATTTTTTCACAGCATTTGTAACTAGTGGATTTATGATATATTAATTTATTTAGTTTATTATCTGTCTCTCCACGCTATCCTAGAATGTAAATTGAGGGTGGAGTCTTTATTTTGTTCGCTGTTGTATTATCAGCACCTGTAATGCGGAGCTCCAGGCCAGGAACCTGCACTTGGGTCTTGGATATTTCAAAAAATCCTGCAGGAGGGCCAGCAGAGTGAGAAAGGCCATTTATTACTCACAATACAAGGAGGCTTCAGCACTTTGTCGGTTAGAGCTGCAGGAAAAGGCAGCCTGCCAAGAGCAAGCAGCGTTTTACATGCGAGCAGAGAGGGGAGGAGGGAGTGCCTCCTCCCAGGAACTAGAGTCTTCCGCCACGGATGAGAGCCGGAAGTGCTGCCTAGCTAGTGTTGGGGAGGACTGGACCGGCTGTGTCCTCCAGCGGAGCAGGGAGATAACGTCCATAGGAACAGCCAAAGGGGCAGATAGTACCCATGGGAGCAACAAGAAGTGTCCTTAAGGACAAGCACAGCCTGGGGAACGCTTTGTTCTTTGTCTTCTTTGGGGCTGCTGACCCAGCAGTCCTCTTAGCCTCCCATGTCTGTGGAGGGGCTATGTTTGAATTAACCCCACAGCACCTATAACAGTGACTAGCACATGGTACATGTGTAATAAATATTTGTTGAATGCATAAATTGTTTTGGAAATTTTTTATTGACATTTCTTATAATCTTATAATTTCTGATGAGTTGTTAGTTTATTCTCTTTGGGTTTTTCTTTTATTTTTTTGGTTGGAAATAAATTTATTTGAAGTATTTCCATGGTAAGGGAAAAATGAAATATTTTTTTATTATTAATTAATTTATTTATTTTATGGTGACATTGGTTACCGAAATCCAAAGTTTCAGCTGTACATTTTAACAGTAGGGCATATATATATTTACACTGTGTGTTCACCTCCCATAGCTAGATTTCTTACTGTCACCACATATTTGACCCCCTTTACCCTGTCTACCTCTCCCCTTTTTCCTCCCCCCATCCTCTGGCAACTACTAGTTTATTGTCCATGTCCATGAGTCTGTTTGTTTGTCCTGTTCATTTGTTGCTTTTAGGTTTATATCCCACATATAAGTGATATCATATGATTTTCAACTTTTTCTGTCTGGCTTATTTCACTTAGCATGATTATCTCAAGGTCCATCCATGTTGTTGCAAATGGCAATATTTCATCTCTTCATGTCTGAGTAATGTTCCATTGTATATATGTGCCACGGCTTCTTTAGTCAATCATCTATCGTCGGACACTTCAGTTGCTTCCATGTCCTGGCCAGTGTGAATAATGCTATTATGAACATTGGTGTGCAAATATCTTTTTGGATATGAGTTTTCAAGTCTTTGGGGTAAATACCCAGTAGAGGGATTGCTGGATCATATGGTAGATCAATTCTTAGTTTTTTGAGGAACCTCCATACCTCTTTGGGTTTTTCAATAAACAATCATTTAATCTTCATAAATAATTTTTCTGTTCCTTTCAAAACATTAAAAATTTTATTTTGTTCTTATTTAATATCATTGGCAAGCACTTCGAGAATAATGTAGTATATTAGTAAGAATAGGCATCCTTCTGTTTCTAAATTAAATGGGAATGTGTCAAGGGTTTCACCCTAAGGAAGTGGCTATATAGTTTTGTTAAGGAGATAATTTTTTTATCCTTATCTTGACTGTGACTATGTGAACTTCGACAGCATATTGAATTTCTCTAAGTCTCCATCAGAGGGTAATAACTACCTCATGGGATTTCTATAAGAATTATATAAAATAAAATTTACAAATTACTTGGCAAAAGATCTGGGACATAGTAAGAGTCAATGAATGGTACTTTTTATTGTTCCTGAAATTTATTCCACTCAGTCATAGTGGAGTAATATTATTTTAATATAGTGTTGGACTCCATTATGTTAATATAGTAAGTTATTGAGTGGCATTTATCCTGTTCTTTTAGAATTGGCAACCAGGGGACTTTTAATCCACAGCTGAGTAAAAAGGAGCAATAAATGCACCGTATTCCGTAAAGGTCCATCAATATCTGAGGCTAGATATTCCCTCAGACACCAAGTAGCAGCAGAAAACTATAGGTAGTGGGGAAGAAATATCAGAATTATAAGTCATTAATTTCACAGGGTCTGCTGTGGCTTTTCTCTCTCTCCTCTATGTGGGATGGGGCAGGGATGCTTTCTCTACAAAGTTGATGAGAGGTTTCCTAAAAAATCACTCATAAAGACTGGTAACTACAAAAGGTGGAGTCTACCATCTCATTCCTCAGTTGCACATCTGTTAGCACACTTGTTGATTTGCCCTATGTCTAGCTATATGAAAAGAAATTTAGAGAGGATGGAGGGAGGGATGAAAGTAGAGTGCAAACTTCATCCCATTGTTTACTCTGGTAACAATGAGGGGCGCAAATGGACACTGAGGTGGTAACTAGGCAGCTTGGATATTGTATTCATCCTTTACCCAGATTGAGGACTGCCAGGCTAGGGATCTTCAGTAAAAAAAAAAAAAAGTAATAAAATAAACTTGGAGAGTATAGGAGTTGAAGGGGAATTTGAAGAGATGTAGCTGAAGGAGACTATCCTTGGCTGCGGAACTGGTCCCTCTAAAGAACTCTCACCTTTGCCCTGTTAAAAAGCTAGGCTCTTTTTTTTTTCTTCTCGCAATTATAAGGATTGTAATTTTTTGAGGACAAACACTATGTCTAATATAGAAATTCTGAGGCTCCTCTTCCCTTAGGACAAATACCACCTACCATCCCACCCCACCTCCAAATGCCTAGCACAGTACTTACTGCATAGTGGGCACAGAGGAAAAACCTTTTCTCTTAAAATTGATATATAATGTATTAATTTTAGGTATACAACATAATGATTTGATATATGTATATATTGCAAAACGATTACCGCAATAAATTCAGTTATCATCCATCACCACAGAGTTACAATTTTTTTCTTGTGATGAGAACTTTTAAGATCTACTCTCTTAGAAAAAAAAGAAAAAGCCTAGCACAAGCGAAAGTTCTTCAGAAGAAACAGTTACCCAACTAAAAAGAGACTCCTTCAGCTACACTTCTTTAAATATGCACTAGAGTATTGTAAACTATAGTCACCATGCTATACATTACATCCCCAAGACATTTATCTTCTAACTGGAAGTTTGTACCTTTCATTACCTTCACCCATTTTACCGGCTAGGTGTTTTTATGACTAGAGTTGACCAGAAAACGATGCTGAGATAAAAGATAGTAACAGTGGCCAGATAGGAAATTTTGCCCTTTCCCCCACCCTTCTCTCTTACCGGGGTGTTGGTAAATATTTAATAAACTTTTCTTCAATATTGGTTAATATTTTCACTTACATTAAGGAATAACATAAAAATGAAACAACGAAGACGTATGTTAGAACTTCACTTATTCATCAATGACATAAGCTACTTTGTTGAACTAGATAATAGTTTTTGAATACTAGAAGAATATTTTCTTAATTATTTTTTGTTATCCAAAGTATAATGGCTAATAAGCAAGACATATTTTTAAGTTTAATCTTCATCATTAATATTTTCCCCTTCAC